AATGCTTTTTTTAATAGGTACTTWAGAATAAACTCGTTATTTTTTTATTTATATTAATCAACTGTTCTGTAGGTGGTTGGATTGCGTATCGATTACCAGTTCATATTTTGCATTCAATGTTGGATATAAGTACATCACTAAGTACTTTGACAAGTCTACGAAAGACATGGTGAGGAATTATAAATAAGACTACATTTAAATTTTCTTGATTTGATCACGTATTGTAGAATCAATATTTTAATTATGATTAAAACGTTGAGTCTAAATTCCACGATTTAATTGAAATGCACAGGCTACAGAAATGGTTAATAACATTCAAGAGGCTTACATGGAACGATTAGAGAACATAGTATGGATGGATTCAATTACTCGGCAATCCGCTATCGATAAATTACAATCGATGCACAAGTTTATCGCATACCCTGATTGGTTCCAAGACATTTCGTATTCACATAATAAATTAAAAATTGTAAGAATAAATTAAACAAGCATTTACCTAATTTATTTTAATTTGTATTACGATATATCGTTTGTATAAAATGAATACGATGAATAAAATTTTTTTTTTGATATGGTAAAGCTGATAATTTTATTGGTTATAAACTTTCAGATATGTATGATTTAACTTTTAATTATTTATGCTTAATATGAATACTTATTGTTTTAGATAAATATGACGGAAAGTTATTTAATGAACTTAGAGATTCTTCAAATTGAATCAAACTTAAAAAAACTTTCAAAGTTAAACAATGTTCACAACCATACAGAGTAAGCATTACTATATGTTTAAAATAACTTAGTACTTTTTGATTTTGAATTTTTTCTATAATATAATTCAAATGATAACTTAAAAATCAGTTATAATATATTATTTACTCAGCGCACATCAAAACGTTGACTTACCGACAAGGAATAATACTCTACCAGTTTATTGGCTTTTATAACTCATGTGTTAATAATAATTTAATGTAAAATGTATACTATAATAAGAACTTGTATAGTTATTACGATGAGTGATTTTATTGGAGGCGAAAATATATAAAATACTTTTACTTACATTTTATAATAATTTTTTCATTTCGTTCTCGTTATACATAAATATGTTTTTTTTTTATAGATGGACGACGGATATAGTTAGTGTAAATGGATACAACGATATATACTCGAACGCAATAGGTAAAAAAATAATTTAAGTCTAATTATTTGTATCAAGGCCAGGTAAATTTAGAAATCATAACTAATAGTTTCTTACTATTAATATTATATACGCGTGTATAATATATAATATTAACTGTTAACTGCGTAATTTCTCTGAGAGAGCTAAAAAGTATTTTAGAGTAAAACCTAAAAAACTATTGCTCAAAGTTATCTCGATTGTTTTTACATTTTATTTATGAATTGGTGAAATGTATAATTACGCGAGTTGCAATCTACATGATTCGACTTTACAATTAGTGTTCAATTTACATTTTATAATTAAAAGTTAAACGTGTAACTTTAATATATTTACCTATCACCTATAGATTATAGGTAAGTCATATTTAATTTAATTTATGCATATTACTTATGGACTATGGTAGTGATCCGTGCAGTGTTTGTTTGCTTAGACAAATTATTATCTAACATTAAAATTAACCGAATGAAATTATGTGTCTACGCTTAATGATGCCCATCAAAACTATATGAAATAGGTATTAAGATTTGAGAATACGAGAAGAGACCCATTCTTTTATTTTACGACTCGCGGCTATCATTTATTTCAACATGTTGTCTTTCACGACATTGGCGTATTATATTACACTATTATGTAGACAATATATCTTTAGAAATAATTACTAGTTATTTTAATGTTAAATAAAAAACTCTTCATTCATATAGTTTTGCCAGCCGGAATGTTACAACTTCCATTTTATCACAAAAGTCGAATTCAGTGAGTACATATTATATACATTTTTATTTATAAATGTGATACGCTGGTACACTCATACATGGCTATAAATATTCTGTTTTTAAAATTTTAGAGCCCTGAATTATGGAATGGTGGGCTTAGTCGTAGGACACGAAATAATGCATGCGTTTGACGATTCCGRTTTGTATACATTTTATGATGTGAATTAATTCATAGAAAAATTGATTTTTGTTGTTTTGTTCTGATTAGGCAGAATGTATGACAAACATGGAAATAGGCGACAATGGTGGACTCAAGAAACAATGGAGACGTTTTCAATGAAAGCTGAATGTTTCGTCCAACAGTATAATAATTATAGTTTGAATGTTCTGGGTAATCAAGTTAAGGTATAGTTTGATATTTTCAACTCGACTTCAAACAAATAATTATTATTATTGTTCCTATATTAGCAGTGTAGAATATTACACTTTATATTATGGGATGTTTTTGGTATTTTTTATACTACCAGATTGAAAAAAAGCTACATGATTACGAATTTAATGAAGATTGAACTAATTACGTACCTACATATTAATCAAAAATGAAAAAATAATAATTACCTTTATTTATAGTACAGTCTCAATACTGTCAACTCTTCAAACTCTTTCAAATATTTACAGTTTTCTTGTTTATTTAAAAACCTTAAAGGCTTAACGTCTTTAACTCAGAAAAAAACAAAAACAATAATAATAAATATCTACATATGAATTAAAGTATTATACAAAATATCTCTTTTTTTAGATAAATGGCCAAATGACTCAAAATGAAAACATAGCAGATATAGGCGGATTAAGTCATGCTTATATGGCATACCAAAAATACGTATCGAAATATGGAGCAGAAAACCGACTACCCGGATTAGAGGATTTGTCACCCGAACAATTGTTTTTCGTAGGATTCGCAAGTGTAAGTTGTCACCCGTCACCATTATAATATCAGACATATATGAACAGATTTCCCTACTCCACTAAACACATATTTTTAAATTAACATAATAGAAAGAGACATTTTGGTTCTCAGTGTTCTCACTGAAGCTTCTAAGTGATAAAAAAAATTATACCTATATTTTAATCAATGTTGTAATGAGATGTAACAATGTTACATTTAATAATGGTATCAGCTGTGTTGGCTTCAAAATTAGTACACAATGCCATACCTATAAGTTTAATAAAAATGTATTTAAATTATCAAGTTCTTTTAAGTTAAAAATTGATTTTAATATTTACAGATATGGTGTGAATCGACAACTGAACAGACATTATTAAATGATTTATTGACTGACGTCCATAGCCCGGGTAAAATTCGAGTATTAGGAACCTTATCGAATTCTGACGAATTTGCCAAAGCCTTTCAATGTCCACTTGGGTCTCCCATGAATCCGTCAGAAAAATGTAAAATTTGGTAAAATATTAAAATAAATGAATAAACAATTTTTTTGATTTTGTATAATTAAATTAATGTATTGAAATGTATATTATCTTTCTATAATGTAACTAGCAGACTAAAAATCCTATATATTATATGAAAATAGAATTCTTAATGTTATACATTTAAGAGAAGGTGTTTAAGACTATTTCTGAGGAACATTAACATTACTCATGGCTAATGACTACCTAATGTTGTTAGTACTTACTGTAATTTAAAACTCGAACACTTGTGAACAACGCATTGTATAATCACAAGAGACTGAATACTGGACTGTAGGTATATAAAAGGGCTCTCATTATACCTGAAAGATATTTTTGTAAAGTTTCCGTCAAAGGTTCGTTAATCTAATTGATTAACTTGATATAAAATATTTGTAAACATTCTTATTTCTAGACACAACATTTTTCAATAATTATCACAAATACATTACAAAATATATTATAAATGAATTGATTAATAAATTAAGCTATTTAACTAACTATTTTTTTTATAAGCATTTGAGTCACAAAATATAAAATAAAAATATATATAGTACTCAATAAAATATGCTGAAAGTCCATCTTCACTCAGATTATTTTTGTTTGAATTCAATATCTTGTAACCTATTGAATTCAAATTAACCACATACATTCAGTGATATCCAATAACGAGGTATACTCGACACCTATACTGTATATCAAATCGATTACTTAATTTACTTATTTTTTATTTTTAACTTTCGTAAGTAGTAGACTAGATTTAAATTTGAAAATAATTCCAATCAAAATAATAAATAAACTGGATTAAGTTCATGAAACGTACAAAATATGTAGCTATTTTGTTAAAATAATAAAATATAAAACTGAAAAAGCCAGAATAGGCCACACACCTAACCTAACCTCACCACTTCTTCCTCATCGCCAATAAACCAGCTCCAATATCATGCAACCCATGAAACGTGAACCTATCGATCGACCACACGAAATTCCCAAAATACACCGAATAACGGAAAATCTTTGAAAACTCATCATCCCTTTGTCTTTCTCTCGACGAAGATAACATTTAAGTAATCTACACATTTTTCTATCACACTAATTTGTAAATATTTTATCCCTGTTCTCATTTATTACTATTGTAGGCTAATAACTTCATGCTGTTGAAGCATTTATCTTAAAAAAAAAAAAAAAAACAATCGTATAGGATGATGACTAATGTGTTTTATTATTGTCGAAAATAGTTTGTCACGTACTAGGCTCAGAAGTTATTTTTATAAACAATTTCTAAAATGTAAAGGTAAGGGATATTTTTAAAAAAAGTCAGATCGACACGGATAATGTAAAATTGCACCAACGGCAGTTAAACGTAAGTATTAGGTGAATTGCACTTAGGTTAGAAAAAAAGGTAACGTTCAAATTGCTCTCGAGTTAAAAAAGGTTATGTTCAAATATTGCACTCGTTATGATTATTATGTAAAACTTATTTAATAATGATGAGTTGAAAAAAGAATATAAAAGAATAATTTGTATTTACACAATCTGAAACAATTTAAGTTAAAATTTAAAAGTAACGATATTCAATGGGTAGTTTTCAGAAAACATACAACATTATAATATAAAAAATAAGTTTTGTTTCAAAACATCCAGAATATTAGGCTCTCTCTTATATTATATGTTTATTTCGAGCCATCGATTGACATACGATTACAACCAAGATAATATGTATATTATGCTCTACACTCAATAGAATGATCGAGTCAAGTACAATTCAAATATTACCATTTTCTGAATTCGAGTGCAATTTAAACATTTTGGTAGGGAGTGCAGTTTGACTATCCCTGAATAGATAACTGTATTATATGATAACATATAATTCTTGGTTCCCGCATCAGTGTATACATATATTACGATATATTTATTTTAAGTACACATCAAACATGATTACGTTGATATCAATAATAGTATTASATAATATTGTATTATACATAATATGAAATTATTTAACTTATATTATGGCATTATCAATCAATCAATTTTTAGCTAGTATCAATAATATAAGCTATATTCGCGTGAGTACAGTATTACAATTTATTGTTATCAATTTCTGTAAGTATGTTTTCATTAGTAGCGTGGCAAAAAAGGATATACATTTGGATGGCATCTGTCTAAAACAAAAACGGTCGTAATGGAAGACCAAGATGACCGTCTATAATACGCACTATTATTAAGCTAAAAAAAGACGAGGACGTGTAAATTTTTAGGATTAGATATCAGACATTTAGTGCCACGCCACTGTATGTATATATTTATTATTGCGACTATTTTTGTAACTATTTTATGTGTTTATGTGTATTAATTTCAAGTATACAAAACGAACAAGGAAAAAAAATGATGTATATAATTTTCGAATTTTGAACTCTAATTATCACCTATATTATGTGTTTCATAATAATTTCTATCGGATATTGAAAACAAATAGTTGATCGTTATAATATGTAAGTTATCGGAGTTGAGGGATTTCTGAGTTAATTTTTTTTCGTTTTTTTTTTTTAAATTGTTACACGACTGCTTCTACGGCTCGCACACTAATGACGGCGTAGCTTCGACGTTGGGTGTTGTCACAGCCACTGTGACGGCGTTGTGAAATTGTCCACTCGATACAAGTCTCACAGTGGTCACGCCGCACATAATCGTCTCCACGGCGTTTTCTGTGGGATAAAATAAGCAATATACAATATTGGAGTTATTATAATAAACTGTTTTATACGAATCATTAAGTTCTGACACGGCACCTCGGATAGGCAATTTCAGTATGCGTACGCGTAGATCGCGAAATCGTTTTACGATATTTGTTTCTCCGCCCGTTCGGTATTATCCTGGTTTTTTCTTAATAAATTCATTAAAGTTTTAAAGACTAACTGGAATTTTTTTAGAATCAAATATTTAGTTTATGCCATTTTATAGTTCACAATAATATTTTTATTGAAACTGTGCATCCCTTCCTTTGGAATTTTGACCTTAATTATATTTATGATCCGGCTATCCATTATATAATATATCTTAAGCATCATAGTTCAGTTGAAAACTACCACAAACGAAGCTACGATATAATATGCGTACATTCTGTTTTTTTCTCGCAATACATACAAAGACTAATGAGTATACCTAATTGATGCCAATGTCATCCGCTAATCTATTAAGTATAGGTATAATGATACTAAAGTTGTGTTGTCTTACTGACCTGGTTCCGAGTTCGTGCCGCAAATCGAATCGACCACAGACAACTGGCCCAAACCGTCTCCACCACCGACTTGAACGAAATCCGGCAACCCTCGTTTGTCACACTGTTAATTTTAATATCGTCACGAGTCACAGTAATACGCGTCATTATATTATAATTGTAATATATGGCACGTTATTATAATTATATTATCGTGTATAATATCATATACGCTTTTAAATTGTTGACAAGTTTGTCCCTCGTGTACTAAAAATGTCTAGAAGTTATATGACAGTACACACGTAGGTACGGACGAGTCATATTATAATAATTAGGCATGGTGAGGATTATATTATAATACCTTGTGAATCGTGCCGGTCTCGCGTTCTGTTAGCGTCCTCTTCTGTTCGTGTCCAAGGCCAACGCCCAACGCCAATATTTTCACCTGAGCCGGGTACAACATCGTCAGACTGCAGTTCACTGGTTTTCCATAATTTCTCAGAGTGTACACTTCAGTAATGTCGGCCAAGAGTATGTTGCAAGCTACGACATAAAAACACCGATAAACACAGTAATATAATAATATAACAATATTTTCGTTGTAATAAAAACGGTATTTGAAAAATAATATTCGCGTATTTGCATAGAACGTTTAAACGTCGGGAATTTATCTTTAGAAATGAGATTCAAATTCATTGCTTATTTTTGGAATGTCGAAGATTATTATTAATTGAGCGTTTTAGTATTTGTATAAATATATTACTCCCTAGTTTCCTACACAACTCTTTACGATAGTAATTTCAACGCTATTGTATTATATTTATTTAATGGCGTTGAATTATGTCAACCAAGCACGTACAGTGAATTTTAGAGAACATTCTTAGAGTCACTAAGTTCAAATATTAATTAATTTAAGGAAGACATTTTAGAAACAATTTGAATTTTAAAGATACATAATGCATGCAGTACCAGTAAAAGGACATTTGATTATAAAATCGACCATTGGCGTGAATTGATTGCACCAAGATTGACAAGAT